TAAAAAAACATAAAATCGCAATGACTGACAGCAAAGGAGTTACACTAGTCATTTCTAGATTAAGTGCCAGAACTCTACATGTGTTTCAAATTACACTACAGCACTGTACAACAAAGAAATATGCAGAAATTTTCCACTTGAAGTGAAGGTTAAAAATTAAACACTAACAAAGCTCTAACAGATATGAAATCCAACCTCATCTTAATGTGAAATTTAAAATGACTGAGCTGTCCTACACTAGGAAAAAAGGCATGAATCAATCCAGTTGTTGAAGATAAAAAGCACACTGGGCTAAAATGTGTTCACTGTATGTCCAGATTTCCACAGCACTCCCACTCTGCCTCAGTACTTACCACTCTTAAAATGACATTTTGCTTAGATTTAACTGTTAATTTATCAAACTATATTACCTACCCTCATTAGACTGGTGGTCATCATTGAACTTCATTTTCTGACCTTAATTAAACAAACACTAATTAACTGGAGTCCTCCTAACAATGTGGTTAACACAAAACCAAGTTGATGGATCAAAGGGAAGTCACATTTTTCCCCTAAAGAAAGGCAAAGATTTTGGAGCAAACCCCATTTTTCACAGACATATGTATATACTCAGGTTGTATCTCTCCAGACAAAGCTAAGTAGGCAAACAAGTTTATTTCAAGCAGTCCAGGCTTGACTTGAATAAAAGGTCTGCACAAAATTTCTCTGTTAGGGCAGAGACTTTTTAACTGGAATGCAAACAGAAATTTTTAGCCTTACTTGTAATCTTACCTCCATTTTATGAGGATGGTGAGGACAGGACTGGCACTGTGTTAAGAGTATGATCCACTTTGAACTACAAGAGGCTGTTTCTAAACTTTGAGGCATGAAGTTCAGATATCTTTACCCAAAATGTTACTCACATAAGCAGACTGTCGATTTATAGTCAGTTTTTAAGTAGCTTGTGTATGACTCCTCACAGCTGTAAATGGTGGAGAACACTGTGGCTGCTTCTGCTAGACACACATCCCTACAATTACTGCCAAGAATGTCTTTACATTTTTGAGGACTTCAAACAAACATCATTTTGATCCTCAGGGGGTTTTTTTCTTTTGTTTTGAGTGGAGTTTTTTGAAAAATCAAAACTACGTAACATTTTTATAGCAACCAACTAACTTCCATCCCCAATCCTGGTTTGCTTTCTGGCTACTTGGCACGTCAGAGTTTGTTATAGTTTTTGTTTCTTTTGTTTTGCAGTAAGAAAAATGCAGACCTCCAACCACACAAATTCAGCGCGCTCAGCTAAAACATTAGAAAGAGAAAAAAAAAGAGAGAGCCAGGCCTTTTTTGGCCCTCTAAGAAAACCCCAAAGCAAAATAACATCAGCAAGTGCCTGAACATCCAGGTGCTCATGGTGTCTCTGCCAACCACACAGCTCCACTCTCTGAAAGCCATGGTAGGTCACACAGCCTTGCAATGACTTTGGCAGTTCAAAACCAAAAGATGACACTTCCCACTTTAGGCCTAATAGTTTCTGGGAATGGCAGAAGTGCCTGTAGGGGCCTTGGTAACACAAGGTTCTCTCTCTCTCTAAACACAACTCCCATCAGCAAGTTGCCTTCAGCTCCATCCAGAAACCAACCACTTCCCAATACACATCCCTGAACACTGCAGTAATTCAGAGCAGTGACCAAGTCACACAGAGCCAAGGCTATTACTCACCATGGAGGGGCAGGCAGCTGCAGAGCCTGACCCCAGGATGGCTGTTACTGTGACTCAAGACCTCACTTTTCTCCAAGGGCAGCAGCACAGGTTTGGGAGATGCTCTCATACATGTCTTCTCCAAGTCATGTTTCCATTTGACAGCAGAGATGAGACAGCTGAACAGCCAAAGTGACCTTTATCCCCCAGATCAGACAATCACCAACCTGGCACATTCAGCACGTGTTGATGGGACCATCAGCCACTGAGTCTTCCTTGCTGTAACCCCCCAGACACACAGCAAAGGGAACCTCTGCCAGAGTCTGGCTCTGAGAAAGCTCCACTGTCCCTGCCATGAGGGACATACTGTTTAAGAGTTAGCATAATACATGTTGCTCCCAGAAAGCCACAAAATTCAGGATATTGCCTTTATTTCCTTGCTTCTAGAAAAAAACTTTCTCCATTAGAAACAGTTGGGGGAAGGATGAAGGACCTAACCTCTACACGTTATACCAATCATTTGTATTGGTGTGGGAATTTAAAAATCAATTTCTTCATTTTTCTCAAGACTTCCAACACACCAACAAAATATCCATCATGAGGATGTTAATGCTTTTCTGCAGTATACAGAAAACCCCCAAAATTTACATTCCCAATGGAAACTGAAAACAAATTTCTAAGAACAATTTGAACATAAATTTCCTGTTTGGCAAAATATGCAAAGTCCACACTGAAGAGTAGTGGGAGGATGGAGAGTCAAGTTTATTGGACTGCTAGCAAAGGTTTTTTGCAAAGCCTAATAAGCAAATAATAGAAGTCATCTTAAAAAGCATTTTTTTAATGATTAAAGATCCCTAACATGTTCTAAATGATCCCTCAAGGATTCAGCCTTTGTCTTGTTCTTTGCTAGAAACCTTCTTGCCATCTCTCTCCTTCATTACAGCAGTTTACTAAGAAATGAACTCAACAATAACACTGAAACTCAAAGTATTACACAAGGTAAGAGGTTAAGATGTGAATATTCACATATTCATTCTACTGAGTGTTTTGAGGATAATAAACTGTATCTTTAGGAAAAAAAAAAAAGTCAATCAATTATGCTATCAGAAGTGAATTCAAAGTCTCCAGGTTGGCAGTGTCATTGCAATAACTCTGGCTCCAGAAACTCAGATAACAGGGAACTATTTAGCAGCAATAAACAGTCAGACTGCAGAATTATTAAAAATAACATGGAAAGAGGGAGAAACTAAGTAAGAATTAAATACATTTAGAATCATAGAATGGGTTGTGTTGGGAGGGACCTTAAAGACCATTCAATTCCAACCCCCCACTATGGGTAGAGATGCCACCCACTAGGCCAGGTGGCTCCAAGCCCTGTCCAGTCTGGCCTTTTGTGAGTGCAAACTCACAAAAGTTGTGAGCAGGAAACTCAAAGTCCTTAGCAGGAGAGGATAACACTGTGCCCAGCTCTTCTGCCTCACCCAGGCAGCTGTATGCAGCTGCCTGAAAACCCCCAGAGCAGGGACAGAGGCACATTAGTTAAGCATTCATCACCAACAGGAAATGCGCATGAGTTCATATAAACACAGAAACACAAATATATAAACCCAAAGCTTCGTAGGGTTTAAGGTATTTCAGGCACCCCATGGAATAGGGTTAGAGCTGTGCTGGCTGGGAACCCACAGCATCGATATATTTGTTTTGGAATGGCAAACTGCCTCAGGACTGGGAAGAACTCTTCTGGTGGGCACCACCAACCCACCCACCAACCCCACACCTCTGTGCTCTTAACTCCTTCGTCACCTCCAGAGCCAAGCCCAACAACTCTGGCTGTTCTTGCTCTCAGGAATAAAATGACATGTTTCAAAGTATCTCCAGGAGAAGACTGTGGCATTGTTTGCAAACCATACTCCAAATACACTCACACATGGATGCTGCAATGCAACTGCAGGATTTAAAGGATTTTGCTTTGCAAGGTGCTGGGATGTCTCCAAACAAGATGGACATGAATCCCCCAGGGTTCCTGATGGATTTGGACACCAGCACACACCTTATGGGGGCTCAGGCAAAGGGACAGGGAGTGGGAATCCTCCCTGCACAAGTCATCGTTTTTTTGTCCGTGATGAGGCTGAGAGGGGCTCAAAGCTCCTCTCACACTGGAGGTCCCTCACAGCTGTGCTCCATCCAAACAGGTGGTGAAGGCTGAACCAGGCTCTGCCCAAGTTTAAACTGCTAATTAATATGTGGTCTCAGAAGCTTGATGTCAGATAATAAAAGTTACAAGCACCAGGAGGACACAGAAACAGTAAAAATGGAGACAACCTCCATTCCAGACAGCCTTGAGTTTTCTGAAGCACCATTAGGTAGCTTATTTACTTAACAAAGTCTATCTACCTCTGTCATTTTCTGAATGAGGCACAGTTTTTCCCGTGCCAGTGAACTAGATGGGATTCCTGTTTGGATTTCAGTGGTCTCCCAAACTGCACAGTAAATTGTCTCAACTTTTCTCAGTACTTTGTGGCTTCATTTTTCCCATATTGCACAGTCAAACGTAAACTGTTATTTTTTTAAACCCTTTCTTGCCTTGCCAGTCTGCAAGTTCATTCTGCCATGTAGTTTTCCAGGCACTGTAAGTGCTGGAAAAATGCTTTGACCTTCAAAGTTAGGCCATGACGAGCTGGGTGACACTATCCCAGTAGCTGCATGTTTTCAGGTGGCATTTCAGCTAGGAACACGTCTCTAGAGAGCAGACACGTCACTTTTGGACTTCCTAGCCTCCATTACCCAGGCACAGGAGGCCTCCAAGCTCCCTCCCAAACACACACCACGATGCTGCCAGGCTGCTGGACCAGCCCTGCATTATGTTTTTTGACAAAGCTAAGCTCTGTGCTTCATTTCTCACAAACGCAGTTTGACTGTAGACAGCAGTCGACAAGTAAATCTACCCTTTTCCATGGCAAACAGCCCAACTTTAATATTTTTACTGGCTTACAGCTGGGTAAATTAAGCCCTGGATTTTTATTTATTTATTTTTTAATACCGTGCAACTGAAAATGAACAGCTACTTCACTGCGACTGCCAAGGACAACCTTAAAAACACTAATGCAATCCAGTCCAGCTCTCAATAGATCTATAAAGGCTAAAGGACCAAAAATTTCAGCTTATCCACCCAAACAAAATGTTGGTTGGGCAGGAAGTGTAATATTTCTTTAAGGATCCTTAAAACATAAGAAAGAAAAAAAAAGATCCCTGGCAATCTGAAGATGGTAACAGTCCCAGCTGTAATGGCATGAAATGGGAATTGAAACACACTGTGTTACTTACCCCAACCTTCCCAGCATGTCAAGCTCTGGAACTTGTGGCCCATATGTCTCCACTTGCAGAGGCTGATACTCATACAGGGTTTCCTCCAGCTTTTGAATGGGAGCTAGTGAAATATGCTGACCCTGTGGAAAAAACAATGCAAAAAATTTCTACATACCAGGTCAAGGTTCTGCTTTGACTTTTTTGAAATGCAATGCAAGAACAAGCTCATACCATTAACCTGGTCCAGACAAAGACCATCCCATTAAGAACATACTGTCTACTACATCACTCATTTCTTCATGATTTAAATTCTTTAACTGGGCCCTACAGACTGGAAGTGATGTTCCATCAGCTGTAACTGTTTGGACAAGGTAGGAGGAAGGAGGAAGTTTTATTGAAGGCCATACTCCCATTAGATATTCCCATTAGAGGGTACAGCTGCTTCCACTGTCACTAGTAAAATTATTATTAGGTTAAAATTTCGTTTATCAGAAGTACTATCAAACAAATGTCCCTGAGCAGCCCCACTTGACTCTGTAATCAATGATTTCCTGAAAGCCTTAATTAGAAAGGGAAGTTGCTTCCCTTTCTCTCCACAGGCTTTGGAAGCTCCCACATATAATGGCTCTCAAGATAGACTTTTACAGAGCAATACAATTAATTCGTTCAGCAAATTCCCATTTGTTTCATAACTAAAAATACAGAAACACACAAACATTAAACTTTCATTCCAGATGGTACTTTTTCAAGCCCTTCAGACCACTGAGAAATAGCAAGCCATTTCCACACCCCCCTCCAAGTCCCTATCACTCCGAGCTCTCACAAAACAGGAGACTTGTGGCTGCAAAGGAGGGGTCAAGAGGATATGAGATAGAGCCAAAGTTAACAGATGTTGCTGCGTGACATTCTACACTGATTTGTTGATCTTTCACACAGTTTCAATTTTCTACTGTGTTCTATGGTGCTCACAAAAATTAGCAGCAGCAGCAAAAAGACAGAGCACCCTGAGCTCCCCCAAACCAGCCTGGCTTTCCCTGCAGAAATCGAGCTTCCCATCTGCAGAAGGCAGGAATTTAGGAAAGTAGTAGTATTGTTTTTGTAGACATTTTGTCTACAACAGGAGATGGGAAGCTTTCCACAGTGTAATGCTGTGTATACTCCTGGCTCCCACTGGTGATCACTTACTGAGTTTCCCTGAGGCCACTCATGTGAGCATCTACTCCCTCAAGTGGAAACTACAGGCTCCTGGTGTGGGATGTTGGGTTAAAATTAACTAAAGAGAGGAACAAAAACGTCAGTAGAAGGAGAACGCTGTTAATTAAATTTGTGGCTGAGGACAGTGACCTTTCTGAATTTGGAGCAGATATTTTTTGTTTAGAGAGTTGCAGAAAATAGCTTAGAAAATTGAAGACGTAAGTCCTTGAGAAGTATTGTCATGGATCTAAGCCGATCTCTATGGAAATATCAGCTCAAGTTTTCCATTGGAACAGCTCTGTGTGTGTGATGAGAACAGAGAGTTTTAGCCTTTTCCTGCACTGCCCTGGAGGGGCCACTAACACCATTATGGTGACAGTGTCCTGGAGGTGAAACGTGGTGAAGAAAGTTCTCCAGTCAGCTATGCTCCAGCTCTCATGGTCAGCACACTGTTGTTTCTGTGCCACAAACTCCTGCTGCAGCATTAAAAGCAGGAACCACACATTTTAAAATAAAAGTAGGAAAAGAAAGCTTAAAAATTCAGCTTTAATCCTACTTCATATTGTAAGACAAACACAGAGTCTTCTGTATTGCTAGAAGTTGTCAATTCCCAATCTATAACTACATTTATGTGGGCCTGTTACACCCATTGTACGAGATTAGGGCTTAAATAAGACCCCAAGATTTAAATTCTCAGCAGTATTTTTGTCTCTCACCAGACCAAAGGGAAATACATACCAACATTTCACAAGTGTACAGCCTCATCTGGCAAGGAAAAAGTCTCCAGTCTTTCCAAATCCAAATTTTGTTTCAGCCATTGAAAGGAAAATTCAGTTTCAGGCAAAGATCAAAACCATTGTAAATATTTTGGGAAATTACTTTTGTGTAGAAAAAGGGAGCAGCTCAGATTGCAGGAGCCACGTCTCTGGAGGGCACCCCCAGAGCAGCTGCTCACTGTTAGCAGAGTTGCCACTGGTGCATTCCTGACACTTCACTAATGAGAGACTTCTGCTGATATTGGCCAAGGGACATGGGAAGGCTCCTGACACATGGCCTGGGCTCATCACTGGCCTCTTTCCCCACCACCATTTAATGCTGCTACACATGTCCATCTCTGGGAACTCCTGGAAGGTCAGGATGAAAGCATTTCATCTGTCTTCCTCTCTTTGCACGGTTCCCAAACGTGCCTGAGGCCAGAAGGAATTGCAATGGCCATTTACTCCAAGATGACTGACTAGTAACTGTAAGGAGCTGCCCATGAAGGCTGACTGGTCAGCACCCCAGTGCTGTGGTGGGCATCAGTGTATGGGTCAAGGGGAAGCCACCAAGCCATGCCAGGACCCCTCTGTGAAGTGTGTTACTGCATCAGCAATGCATTGTCGTGGCCTGAAGAGCAGCAGAATATCTGAAGAGCAGCTGCCTTAAAACTGTCCACCCTTGAGCTGGTCTGACCTCATGTCCAGCACAGGCCAGGATATTTTGTGCTCCTGTATGAAGCCCAAGGACTGGCAGTTCAGCCAAAACACCTTCTTTTGAAAGGCATCCAATCCAGACTCACAGATTTCAGATCACAAAGGTCCAGGCACATCCCCTAGGCAAGGTGTTGCAATAGTTGGTTATCTTCACCATTAAATATTGGCACCTCATTTCTGGTTCATCATTCTCAAGGCACTGGCTCTCTCCTATGTCTTTCTCACCCACATCCCAGGCCAAGGTGCACAAGTTAGGAACCAGTACAGACTTCTGTGCAGCAAAATGACTGCACTGGTTTGTGTCCAGCCAACCAATCTGCACCTCAAGGAGATTATGCAGCTGTATGAGACAGTTCATTTGTTTTCATTTCCCAAAGTCACAACTTTAGCTGATGGGCTTTGGCAACATGGATTACATTCCACTTAGCAATGGGTAAGAAAACCCTCAACCAGCTGTTGTTCCTGCCCTATAGCTCTCTGGCCTTTAGGTAAAGGCTTTTTCCTAGAAACTGAATTTTCGTCTGCTAATTTGGGCAAGGGTTAGGTGGAAGCATAAGTTACAACAAACATTCCCAAGTCTAACTAGGCTGAAGTCTCGTCAAGCCCTGCAACCACATCAGCTCTGTGGACACGAATAGGCTGTGTGCACACCTCTGACCCCTTGCAATGCCAGTGCAGCAGTGTGCCCATGAAGGCTCTTGGGCTTCCAGGTTGTTTAGCCCTGCCCTGGTCAGTGTGGGCCTAGCACTGGCTATGGCACAGATCAGTGCAAAAGGCTGGGATGCAAACCAGAAGCATTGCCTTTCCTATTTCCACTGATGTTGGGATAACATGATTCACAAAAAAACCTTGTTGAAGTAAAAAGGCTCAATTTGACCACTATTATCGCAGTTAAAACCATTTGACCAGAAGCATCTCAGTTTTGTCCCCCTGTCCCACATGGTCCCAAGCCACTTCATAACAGTGTGGCATAGAAGGGAAGCTCTTGTGTAACTTTAGAGACATCACAAGAGAAAATACTGTTACTTAGTACTTACACAGCACTTTTACAGACACAAAAAACATTTCAAACACATGAGGTAAGACTTTTAAATTTCCTGTATTCCACCTAGACGGCCTTACCTCTTTCCAGCATTAGGAGGCATTTATCAGCATGCTAAAACCAAAATGAAAGCAGTGGGGCCAAGATCCTGCTTCTGCATTGCTTTCTCCTGACAAACCTAAAATCTGATGTTGTGGTCATGGGTAAGTATTTCTAATTCCCCTTGGATGCTGTAATGTTTGTGTAAAAGAAGCTGACAGTATCCAAACGGAGATAGAAAAGGCTTCCAAGAACACAGACAACACATTTTCCTGCCTCCTCTCCCTCCCACTCCTATCTTTGTGGCATACGAGTGTTTTCTCTGGGATTATTTTAGGCACTGGAGCTGTCTATTACATATTGGAATGTATGGAACCACAAAACATGCTGCTAATTAGAAGGAAGGCATTTGCTTATCCTTAGGACTTTGTTTATGTAAAAGCCTGCACAGCAATGGATTTGTGAGCAAGTGACTTTCCATTCATGCACTGTATGGTTTTAGATGAGAGAAGTACAGGATTAAATTGGGAGGGGGGTGCTAAATAATGTCTTTGCATTAGAAATAAATCTGACTGGATGATTTACTTCTCACTATCCAGATATACTGTTTGAGACATCTCTCAGTTGAAATAATCAGAAACAAAAGCAGTGGCCAGTTTTTGTTTCAGACTGTGATACAGCATGGCATTAATAAAAGCCAAGAATTATATACAGAGAAGAGCTTCCCTTGCAGTGACAAGAAGCTTGTTTTAAACGAAAACAACGCTCTTTTAGGAAAACTCACGGCTATTAGAATCTCAGATTTACAGTGTATCAGTGCACCTTTCACACAGGTCTAGGAGGGACTCTTGGCAAATAGCATCAGTATTTGCCTGTTAGCAGAAAAGGATTATTTTAGCACAGAATTCAGAAATATCAGCTCAAGGTGCAGCGTTCACACTCCATCCCACCCTGTCCTCTCTCCCTTTCCCGGTCTCCAAAGTGACATTGTTTTCCTTCACTTCTTTCCCTCGGCAGCAAAAAGAAACAACTGACTGTGTTCTCAGAAATCTTTCAAGTGCCAGAGAGGAGGAGGAGAAAGGAGACTGACACCAAAAATGCACTAGTAGGGGAAAGAGGAGGAACAGCTATGCCACAAAAACATCCCCAGGCAAGAGACAGAAGCCAGAGACTGGGGTCAGTAAAACTTGCCCAGACAAGGCATGTTCCTGCACTAGCTGTGGCTGCACTAGTTGTTGCAGCCAAACTTTTTGCTTTGTTAATTCTCCCTGCTCAGGAACTCACTCAGCTCTGCTATCACAGCACAAGTCAGATAACAGGAATAGCAATATTCCTGCTAGGTCTCATTAAGTCAGATTGCAGCACTGTTGTTTTTATTTAACCCTTTCCCCTC